ATCCTGGCATGGCACAGCAGTGCAGGGGAGCAGGGGTTCCCGTTTGTGGGCTGCAGTGAAGTGGCCAAGCCACACTAGGCTGAGGATTGGCACTAAGTTTGTTTTGCAGTTGCACTGTGGTGCTGGGTCTTGAACCCAGGGCCTCATGCACGCTAGGCAAGCACTCTCTCACGGACCTGCATCTCCAGCCTCTCTCAATCTCTTACTGTCCTCTCTCTGAGCTTGTTTTGACATGGCTAGGGGAGAAAACAGAGGAATGCCCGAGAGAGGTTGGACATATAGCTGAATATTTTTCATCAAGGCCAAGCATTTTAGTATGTAATGATCTGGACCAAAATAGAGGGAGACCAATAACTAGACTGTGAATTCAAGGGCATTCAGGCTCAAGTTCAGGAAATGGGTAATGAGCATTTTACTTGGACAGCCCAGACAGTATCAGCAGTTTTAGTAATGGAGGCCCAGCCGCATTTAGGCAGGTAGTGCGAGCAGAGGGTCTGGGCCATGTCATCCTCCATTGTCAGTCTCTGACTCCATCCCATCCCTTCCTTGCCATGCCTGCTCCCCATCTGTTTATGTCTGTTCTTGGGTCCAGGGGCTACGATTTTAATGTACAAAGCTTGCCTGCTTAAATATTCCTTCACCAACTGTTTTTGAGACAGGGTCTCCCTATATAGCTCAGGCTGTTCAGGCTTATTCTTGAACTCTTGCCTTAGCCTCCTAAGTGCTGGGATTACAGATGTGTATCTCCATGCCTGGCCAAGGGGATGGGGGCAATAATTTTAGATACTGCCTACATTTCTTGGTTAAAAGGTATGAAAACAACAACAATGGAGATGCCAGTTAGAGGCGCTATGCCATGTGCTAGGCTCTGTACTAAGTGGTGTATAGGTTTCATTTTAAACTCAGCCCTCTGAGGCAAGCATCATTTTTACCTTCTCTTTGACAGATGAGCAAATGGAGGTTCTACTGTATGTATCCACTAATTGCAAGTTGTCTCATCTTAATTTTCAGTTTCATTGTCAGCACCTGATGCCTTAAAAATCATAACAGAAAATGACCATATTCTTCTATTCTGGAAAAGTCTAGCTTTGAAGGAAAAGCAATTTAACGAGAGCAGGGTAAGTACCTCCCACATTCTTGATGGCTTTGGAAATCTAATTGAAATGCTGTTTTAGAGATGAGCTCATTAACAGCATTCTGGCAGAGATAGTTTAAAAAAGAAAGAGGGAGACTAGGCCATGGAAGTGAACCTGAGAATTAAAGGACCATTTTCTGCAGGATTGCTAATTAGTGAAATGTTTGTACTGCCCATTAAAGATGAGAATTTCTACACTAAGCACTTTTCAATCCTGCACTTGTCTTCCACGGAAGAAAGCAAAATGGGTAGGAACCATGCTATGCCGGGCCAGAGCTCAGCATCGGAACATAGCAACCACCTTTTCCATAGCTGCCTAGGCGAGCATTGTGGCACCCATGAACGGGTTGCTGCCCCCACACATCAATTGTGACCCTATCACCTCTTTCCCAGAGTTATGAGAGAAGTATATGAAGTATATGAAGATACTCGGTTGACTTACAAAGAAACACCTTTGCTTTATTTTTCAATTTTGCCAATTGGCAGAGCCAAATCGTGCTATCCAACAGGAAGTCAGGAAGGGATGTGAGACCTGAGAGATGTGGCCCCAAGGATGGGCATGTTTTAAATGGAGCTGTGGGTTGGCCCCAGTGACAACATCAGGGATGACCATTTGGGACACAGTGACCCTCAGCTGAGGGGAAAGTGTAGGCAAGGAGGCCCAAGAGTCTTTAATAGTCATGGGTAGACGCCAGAGCAAGGCTCAATTTTTAGAATTTGAAAATCCTCACCACTCTTAAGAATTCTCACAAACTTTCACAATGGTGATGTCTAAAGTAGTTAATATCCTCAAGTGTAAAAATGGGCTTTTGAATCGATTGAAACAGAATATTTCCATTTTGAAAGGTAGGGTAAGAAGATAAACAGTGGAGGTGTGGCACTGTCACATTACCTCAGCAAAGATATGGGGGGAAAGCATTACCAGTGTGGGCAGTAGTTGGGTCAACTAAAGCACTCTGAGATTAAAAATTGGTTTCACCTCTGGAAAGCTATCTTTGGTAATACTTCTTTTTCAAAAATGTTGAAATGTGTTCACACTTTAATTTTTGGTGGTACTGGTTTGAACTCCGGTTTGGCATGAGGCAAGGTTCTCTACTTCTTGGGCCATGCCTCCAGCTCTTTTTCTCTGGTTTTTTTTGGGACAAGGGTCTTGCTTTTGCCCAGGCTGGCCTAGACTTTCAAGTCCTCCTATTTTGTGGCTTCTCGCCTAACAGCTTGGGTGACAGGCATACCCATCAATCCATTTTTTTTTTCCCCATTGAGATGAGATCTTGCAATGCTTTTTGCTGGGCCAGCCTGACTATGGTCCTCCGCATCTTCGGCCTCGCCATGTAGGTAGGATTGTAGGCATGAGCCTGTGCCAGCTTGGTGTTCATGCTCTCGATCTAAAACAATTTCTTCTAGGATTTTTTCACCTCAAAATAAAACAGTGTACATAAAAAATTCTGTACATTGTGTAAATGATAGTAACAAAGAAGAAACACCCTAAATGCTAACAGAGAAGACTGTTGAGGTGACTATAGGTGGTTGATGTTTTTGTGTACTTGTTAATTTTTAATGCATTTATGTATTCAAATGGTTCCACCACTAGTTATATATTAGATAGTAAATAATGAATTGGCTACCTTTATAATAAAAAGGAATATGGGATGGGGTGCAAGGCAGGTGTTGAAAGCCAGCTAGTAGAAGCGCAATTAGGGGACTTTCCTGGGGCTGTAGAACTAATATTCCATCCTATATTCGGGGGTCTGACATTGGCAGAAACATGCCTTTCCTCCCTCCCTTTGGCTTTGGAAGTCAGGACACTAGACAAATCAGTGGAATGGGGACCAAGAGATTATGCAGTGGCCTTAGGTGGGTGGAGATAAGAGATGGAGTACCCTGAGGCTCAGAGGTGAGTGTGTTTGGTGTTTTGACACTGGAATGCTCAAGATCAGCAATAGAAGATCAGTTAGCTAACGTCAGGTTTAGGGCCACACATCGGTGAACTTTTCCCAGTCACCGAGTCGCACAACCCTTCCTGAGACAGCATGAGAAGGATTATTTCATTCTCTTCTCTGGTTGAACAGGGCCCCCAAGTCTCTGAGGTGCTTCTCATCTCAGACCAGCCATTCAGCTGGGATCACTAAGAGGAGAGCAGAAAGGGAGGGAGGCAGGAAAGCTTTTCTGATTCCCAGATACAACCATGACCAGGAAGTTTACTACTTAGTCAGATTGCCTATTGCAAACTCTTACTGAAGTTGGTCGAGTTCTTTGTGGCATTTGTAGTGCTTCGAGATAAGCAGCTGCTGCCTGGAACGTCGAGTAATGTGTTGGTCAAGCCATGCTTTTTCTTTTAGAGGCCACACTCGTCACTCCACCGGTGGAAGTGGTTTAGTGAGCATGGTAGTGATTGGGAAAAGTCCTGTTTTCTGAATCCCGTACCTCAATGGTAAATGTCAAGAAAGAACTAGCAAAACCAAAAGCCTGTGGCAAGGGGCTCACAATGTGTGGTAGGAACGCCAATAACAGAAGCCATCAAGTTCCTTCTTCAACCTTCCTGAGCAGCCTCACGTGTGTTTTGTGTGTTTCCAGGGCTACGAGATACACATTTTTGATGTGGCAATGAATATCACAGCTTACCCTTGGAATATACTGACAATTCTTTTCAAAATTTCCAACCTGAAGATGGGTCATAATTACACGTTCACTGTCCAAGGCGATGCCCTTTTTGGCAGCCCAAATCTGTGGGGAGCCTGCTGTGGTTGCTTCTATGATGACCTGGGCTCTGGTAAGTCATTTTTGTGGCTGCCCAGGTCCGTGTGCCATTCCAGGGAAATAACAGGAATGCAAGTAGGGTCCTGTAGAACGTGTGTCTTTCTTAAACCATTAAAATACTCTCATCAGCTCAAAAGGAAAATCACTTAGGACTCTATTTAATCAGGACTGATTTGTTAGGCAATACTTCACTGAGCCAGGCCATGAATAGGAGGAACTGGGATTATAATGAAATAATAAGTGCAAAGAAAAGAAGGTTTTGTTTAAAAAGACGTCCTGGTCTGGGAAGTGGCTAGGTTAACAAGGGTTGGGCAGTTTGTTTTCCTAGGACTTCCCAGAGCTATAGCATGCTACAACACCCCATGATTCTCCAAGTCAACTACTCAACTCCTCATCGTGGAGTTAATCTCCCTTTTCAGCCATCCTGTCCATCTTAGCTCAGCCTCAGGTGAGGACCCAAATTTGGTCTGAAGATCTCTGGACGCCTTGTGGGTATCAGTATTAGACCACAGAAAAGTTCCTTTTACATTGGTAGTACTTGGCTAGGATTTTAGGAAACATTTTGCCACTGGTCCTTTTAGATACTTGTAACTCCTGGCCAAAAATTTAGGCCAGGGCTCAATGCCCCAACCTTGTGTTAGTAGAAGAGCTTGTTAAATTCTCTGTTGCCTAATGCTTCCGGTGTACTGAAAGTATTGCCGTTTCACCTCCTTTGGAGGGTCATGACATTAGTAGACTGCTAGAAAAGGTCCTCCTAAAAGATAAATAGCAAAACTCTTGTTAACCTTAATAGTTGCTGTGTGTTTTTTCTAAGCAAAACACTAGCAAACCTGTGCAGTGCACTGGGAAACACTGTCGTAGGAACCGCCACCATTGGCCTTCATGAAACCGAAGGTTGGTTGGGGCTCACTCACTCCTCTTGCCTCCACCGCGCTTGTAACCAAGCACATGCCTTTCTTTAATTCCACTGCACCATTAAGGATGGGAAGAGTCACTTAAATACAGTTTTTGCAAGAATTTTTTTTCTGGCCAAGAAATAGTGAAAGAATTTAAATATAGACATAATGTTGAATTGCCTAGGTTAGGCTTGCAAGAATTGACTAATCTGGCTGGGTGAGGAGGGGCATGCCTGTAAATCCTTACTACTCGAAGCAAATGGTAGGAGGATTGTAAGGTATTCAGATACTGGCCTGGGTAAAACTGGAAGACCTTATCTGGAAAAAAACGCTAAAAAGTGAAAATGGATTAGAGGCGTGGACTCTAAGTGGTAAGTGCTAAAATAAAGAAAGAAGGCTTCTCTCTGGCTCTTCTTTGTTGAGTACCTGTGGGTGGAAGCTGGGTAGCTGTGGCACTTTCTTGCATGGAGGCAGAGGCCTTGGCTGGCTCCTTCCTTTAGCAGCAACTCTACGGTCTGTGAAGACCTATATGGAGGAAAGTCCGCTTACTTCCTTGCTAAAACCAACTTTAAGCACCATTTTCCTGCTTCAAGTTTTGGATTGCTCCTAGGGTTGCTTTCTTTTCTTTTGTGTTGGTGGGGGAGCAGTGTAGGGATTGAACCAGGGTCTTACACGATGCTGGCAAGCCATTCTGCCACTTAAGCTACTCCTCCTTCTTCCCCCCACTCCTACCAGGCACTTATCCCAAGGATTTTTAACATGAGAAGTCCACCCTTTTCATGGAAATGCCCCCTACCTCAGCAGGGTGTGAGCTGGGGGATGGGCTTTGTAACCCCAGTGGGTACAGATCTGTTGGTAAATCACCTCAAAGCTTGGCATTTGTTAAGGCCATGGGAAGGTGGCAGCTTTTGTGGTTATAAACACCTAAACGGCTTGAAGAGAACTTTTAGAAAATCGTTAAGTTGCATATGGAAAGGTTGTTTCTCCCATTTTTTTACTTAAGTTAAAAAAACAAGACCTCATAAAACTTCATGAGCTGTTAAGTCAGTATTGTAGTATAGAATCTCGTTTGTAGTCAACTTAATGGAGCTTCAGGTAATTTGCAGTTCAGAGTGACTTTGGTGCCAAGTAGGGGGGGAAATAATTCAATCTCGTTATTAGTGGTCTGATTTCACATCCTCTTATGTAAGGCAAGCAAGTGGTCTTAAGTAATAATGCTAATGAAATCAGTGCTGATACCCCAACAAAGGTCTCCCTTCCAAGAGATTATCTAATAACCAACAGCAGTGATTAGAGTCTAATGTAATTACTGAGTGTTTTGCATGTGCAA